CTGGGTAGGGTTTTGTCCTGGGGTCACTACTCTCTTTGTTCCATTTAGCATCAGGCTTTTCTTTACTTTTATCTCCTTGAGCACTGGAACGTCTGTCTTTTATTTTACACTTTTGTTCTCCTCAAACTGTGTATTTTATACTTTTCCTTGCTCTGCTTGCTCTCTTTCATTACAGATTTGTACAAGAGACTACTAATAACCAAGGACAAAGTCAGTACTAGGCTGTGTTGGAATCTCTGCCAATACCATTAATCAAAACTCTTCAATTTGGCCTCAGAACGATTTTTAGGACAAGGGCAAAAAGCAGCCACATTCTTTAGCAAAATATTATAAGAATGGTCTCTAGACTATTTACTAATCTTTTTCCCCTTTGAAATTTTTTGAGCCAGGTCATCATAAGTTACATTGCTCTCAGCATCTTCTACTCTCCTACTAGGATGGACCAGTAATCCCTGCTTAAAGTGTTCAACTGTTTCTAGTCCAAAGTCTCAAAGTATTCCTTTAACAAATGGCATGGTCAGGCCAATCACAGAAACACCCCACTCCTGGTACCAATTTCTGTCTCAGTCACTTCCTTTTACCTGGTCCATTTAGTCTGCAGGGGAATTCCATTTCAGAATCTGTCTCCTGCCCTAACCTTTTCTGTGGTGTTTATACTTGAATAAATAATAGGTTAAAAACCACTCTGCCCCACATCCATCCTCCTATAGGAACTCTCTTCACTCTCAGAGACTCACCAGCCTGTGGAAGACACTAAATGAAACATCTACTAAAAGCACCACGGCAGAAGTATATTCCAACTACAGCAGAGGAAGGTGAGGTCATTTCTACAGGAGTGGTAGTGATAGGTACCTTTTAGAAGGGTTGCACAAAGATGTTCTTTCTTCTTTTCTTTCATGGTCAATGTCCATTCAACTTTAAAAACAGGAAAAATTTGTTCATCTTACTACTAACCAAATTAGTTAAGACTAGGACGCCATATTATCTTCTTGTTTCCTTCTGTTACCTAATAGCTTGTCTTAGCTCTTTTTTTTTTTTCCTCTCTCAATGAATGTAGAGGCCGGAGACTGACAGCAGCAATCTGTTTCAATTGTTTTCCACTGAACATGGAGTTTTCTACTCTTCAAATCTGGCTGTCCAGCAAGCCTTTTAGTTCCCCATCACTGAGATTACAGATATGCCCTGCTCTGTCAGCATTTACATGGGTGCTGAGGACCCAGACTCAGGCCCTCATGCTTAGACAGCCAGCGTTTTACCTGCAGAACCCTCTCTCTATGTTCTGGAATAATTTTAATATCATGTTTTCAATTTGTATTTATTTAGTCTGGGTTTATGTCAGTTTTCTTTAGAGAGGTTGAAAACTCGCTTTGGAGGCAGGTGTTGACTAAATAGCTAGAGGTGAGAGATGTTTGGAGAACTATGACTTGATTTTGATGCTTTATCAAAGCCAGCTTACCTGAGCATGTATACCTACATTTCTTTATTTACAAAAATACCAAACCATTTGTGTGCTCTATAAAGTATTTGTTAAACCCAAGCTATATTATAAACTAACATAATTTTAAAAAAAGCCCACAATGTGCTAATTTCAACACTATTAATTGAGTACCCAGCACCTGCCTTGAGAAACACATAATGGTCACTGACATGAAGCCCAGTATGTCTCTTCTTATCACATGACTTGCTCATTTCCCCAGGGATGAGCAGCAGACTGAGCTTCAGGTTTCTCTGTGTCTTTATTTCTTTTGGAATTCTTGATGCTGTGATTAATTCCATGTGTTAGCCCATCTAGGCAAGGGTACCAGGCAGTATAGAGACTGCTGTGAAGTTATTTTTCTTTTAGCTATGATTAACAATCAATTCAGTAAACTTTAGGCTAAGCACATTTCTTTTTGTATTATGGCCGAACCTCATCTAATTTGCTAAGGCCTCAACCGGAAAGGACAGGATTCCAAAACAAGGAAGAAGCTGGGCTCCCAGATTGCCTTTGGATTCAAGGCTGAAACATCAACTCTTTCCTGCAGTTCCTCCCAAACTGTCCAAATCTGCCCTGCAGATCTGAGGCTTCTTGGCCCCTCTGATCACATGACCTCCCCCCACCCCCATCCATTTTGCAAGCGAGAGCAGAGGTGGGATGCTTGGAGGACTATACATTGATTTTGATAACTTTTCACATTTACAAAGCCAGTACTTTTAAGCATGCATGTACGCCGCTCTTTGCAGAGTTACCCATCTATCATCCGTTTACGCTGCTCCTCCGTCTGGCTTTCAACTCAGATTCTTCCTCTTTCAGCTTTCCAAGCGCTGGTAGCACACACACATATCATGCCATCAGGTCGTCATATTCTGTTCATTGCAGACTTTCTTAAGCAGTCTACTCCATGGTTTATAGCAAGAAAATCCTTAAATACTTTGCATCCTTTAAGTACATTTCAGAACCGGCTCATCAACTGTTAGGACAATCTCTATTGGTTTTTGTTGGAGACTGAGAGAATCAATAGATCAATTTAAATAAAGTTTTTTTTTTATTTATGATATTGAGTGTTTCTGGGTGCATGGTCTTTCTATCCATGTATTTAAACCTTGTCTAATGATCTCTAAAAACATCAGTGATGTTCTTCAAAAATATTTTGCTTATTTTTATCCTAGGAACCTTATTTTGTTGCTTTGTTCTAAATGTAAATAGTGATGTGGGAGTGTCATATATCAATCTGTTGATTTCATTGGCTGAGCAATAAAGAAACTGCTTGGCCCTGATAGGTTAAAGCATTGGTGGGAGGAATAAACAGAATAGGATGCTGGGCAGAAGAGGAAGTGAGGTCAGACTCTGCTCTGCTCCCGGAGAGACCCAACAGCTCTGCCCTCTGGAGCAGAGACACCAGGATGGATGGAGGCTAGACTCTTCCCGGTAAGCGCACCTTGGGGTGCTTACACACGTCATTAGAAATGGGCTAGTCCAGGTGCGAGAATTAGCCTGTAAGGGCTAGAGTTCATGGGCCAAGCAGTTCTTAAATGTATACAGTTTGTGTGTTGTTATTTTGGGCATGAGCTAGCCAAGCAGCCGGGGTGTTGGGGACGCAGCCGCCGCTGCTCTTATTTCAACAAAATAGCCCTTAAAATGAAATATATTATATCCTAATTTTGTAGATGGAGGCTTTAGACTGCACTTCAAATACATGAAAAGAATCAGAGACTTGTATTTGGTTTATTCTGGATATGTTTGTACTTGTTGGAGGTTCCCTCATATATTCACTTGCATATGAGTAGGAAAATATTATAGCTTTCTAAATATTTTACTAAAATTAATCTCACCTACTCTTGAAACAGGAGAGTGAGAAGTCATATGGTTTGTATACAAATCATACATGCAGTTATACACATATGGACATATGTGAAGAATTAATACATAAAAATGATCTAGAATGCTAGATATTTTAAAAGTTGGGGTTACAGTCTTATGCTATGTAAAATCCCCTTTTTTCCAATGCACTTTGCATCACAGTTTAGTGTTGGCTTTTTCTCTTGAGATTAACTAAATATCTCTGCATAGACATTACTGATTTTTTTTTTTGTAGGAATAAAATGATCTGGCTCAAATATCAGCTTGGAAAATCAGCACTATGGGTTACTCAGAACGCAATACTCAGGAGGGAATCATATTCACTGCTACTTACCTAGTTTTTTTGTTCTAAGCTCTTTGGTACTCTAATCTAGCGAATTGTTGAAGCATTTACAAATGGGAAATTCCTGCGGCCTATCAGAGCTGAAACTCTACCCTGCTTTCTGGTAGATTTCACTCCCAGCTTGCCACAGAGTCCTTCTGATTCTCTACTTTAAATGTTCCTTTCTCTAAGAGTCCTGAATTCTTCCTGTTCATTCTTAGTCATTCCTAAGCAGCAAGACCTCCTTTAAAGTCTTCATTTCTTAATCTGGCAGCAAAAATTCCATTTTCACTCAACTCTTAGTGGACAGTGAAATTAAAAGTCAGAAGCACTTTATATATAAGTGTGCACGAATCATTATTTTTCTAGACAATAGATTTTAATTCACTTGAAAAATCAGTTTCTAGCACTCTCGTTCTCTTTCCAGGTTTCTCTCCCCTCCTCCCAGCTACTCACCCTCTGCCCTCTAAATGTAAGGTAGATAAATTGTCCCTTCTGAGCTTGAGTCTCACTCACATAGGATCTAATCTCCTTGGATCTTTTTTTCCTGAATTACAGGATCCCCTTTCTCAGATTAGCAACCAAATGCTATTAACTCTTCAACTGATTTAAGTCTTTAGGAGCCAGAAAGAAGGTCTGTTCATTTCCAATTGCTTGAAGTAGCACCAGTGTTTGGTACTCCAGGGAGCCTCCTAATTTTAGTACTATTTGCTTTGGGGGACGGGGCTCAATAGCTGTTTTGTGGAAGCAAAAATAATGATTTCATCTGAACATAACATATTTGAGGGTAATTTATGAATCTTTGTAGTTAGAGTTTCCTTGTGTTTAGTTTTCTGATACCTTCAAAGTTTCCTCTTTTTCTTTTGTTTTTAGCAGTTTTGGAACAGCATGAACACATGTCTCTTTGAATTGATATTCATTTATCATTTTGAACCTAAATGTATTTCATTAAAATTGTGAAAAATTTGACCATCATTTCTTCAACGTTTTCTACCCTCTCCTCTAAAACTATGTTTTTACTTTAAACTTCGATGGTAGGAAATTGAATGGGCCTTTTCCTGCTCTCAGGAATTTAAGATCAGGATAGAAGCCTTCATTTCTCAGGCGAGAATAAGGACTTAACGAAGGGCCGAAGGAATCTGAAGTCAGGTTTGTAGCGAACTTCCCCCACCCTACAACCTGCTCAGATTGGGGAAAAATACAAATAAAAATAAAGGCCGGGGGGATGGGGGGGGGGATGGGGGGCTCACAAGCGCGTGCGCGCAGGTGAGAGCATCTCCCCCCCCTCCCTCCTCCCGACAGGGGGCGTGGCCGGCTCTCTCCGCCCAGTGTGCGCGGCGGGAAGCGGAACTGCCGCGCGCTGGGCTCGGCTGCTGGCCGGGCAGGCTTCGCTGGACACCACGGTCTCTGAGCGGGCGGCATGGAGGAGCGCAGCGATTCCGAGCCTACCCCGGGCTGTAGCGGCCTTGGCCCGGGTCCCGTTCGCGCTGGCGGCGCCACCCCCCACACATGGGCTCCCGAGGACGCCTGGATGGGCACACACCCTAAGGTCAGGAGGCGCGAGGCCAGCCGGGCGCCGACCCGGCCCTCCTCACTGCGACCCCTCCGCCCGTGTGTAGGCGAAGAACGCACGTCAACCTCGCGGCGGGGGCGACCCGTGTGCACGGCCGCAGGTCGCCCGCAGTATCAATTTTTGTTTGTTTATATGACTAACACTACTCCTCTCACTCTGCCAAAGCGGCTCTTAATCCAGAGGCCGCTGATAAACGGTCCAGTAATACCTGTTTTCCTAACTAGGTAGTCCTTTCTGGGATGAACTGATTGAATCCACAGTTAACCCAACTGTGGGCTATGGCTGAGATGTAAGGGTCCGCAAATAAAGTGTTTAGTTAGACACAGGCACATTACACGTAGCCTTGGGCCCAAAGTGTGTGCATCTTTATTCTGTACGGGAACAGAATTACAATTTTTCGGATTCTCAGAAAGTTTGAGCAAGTTCTATTAACGTTGTTGGCCTCAGGGAAAATAAGGGAAAAAATTTGCTAACCTCTGCTTGGGAAACTGGTGGTTTGTCATAACGAATGACAGTTGTGTAAGGATCTTGAAAACTGGATTGGTACATTAATAAAATGGCAACTTATCCTTTTGCTTTATTAACTTAATAAGCATCTAAAATAATCAAGAAAGGGGAATATTTGAAAATACAATTTCCCTACTTTTAGAAGCTTGATGTTTTCTTGCTCTCTTCCATTCATTTTCACCAAAAACAATAGCATGGAAATGTTAGAAATTTAACAAATTATAACAAATTTAACAAAATATAACAACGGGGAAGGGGAGAGCAAGAGAGACAGAGAAACAGAGACAGGAACTAGGAACATGGTGGACAACTCCAATTCAGACTTCTCCAGTTTGAATCTTTTTTCTGTTGCTTACCAACTTTGACTCGTTTTGACTTGGCTGACCTCATTGTTCTTCAATTTTTTTGACGTATCTCAGTCTTTTCACTTAAAAATGGGATAATAGTGTACTTATCATCATAGGGACATTTTTATAAGGTGTTTGACATAAAAAAGCACTATATAAGTATTTACTAGTAACCTTTTAAAACCACATTTAGGTTTGATGTTGCTTTTAGACAATTTTCTTGCTTTCAGAGTCTTTTCACTTTGAAGCTAACGACTACCAAATCTTCCTGTTGATTTTTTTTCTTCCAGGATCAACAAATTGATTTAAAAAGGAAAAGAAATAATATATGTTTTCCAGTTATACCCTTTAGTTACTTAATTTGAAAATTGCTTAAGATGTTATTGGATTTCCCCATTTACAAGCTTATTATTTGATTCTTTGAATCAGAAATGCATAGTACTTTACATGGATAAAATTCATCTTTAGCTTTGTCACATGGACCTTGTAGCCTGACCCCAAATTATGTCACAGTACTATTGTCAAGCACTTCTTGAGACTTGAGACACACAGATGCCCACCCTGTCCAACCTGTTTGTTTGCTGTGTAGCAAATAGGAGAAGGTGACCTCAGGTCTGCCCCTTAGGGTTCTGCAAATATCTCATCTGTCCATAGGCTCTGCCCAAGGCTTTCCCTGCAGGACTAGGTTTCTGTTGTTTATAGACCTGCTCTCTGACTGTTTGGATGCCCAAGGCTTTCTGCTGCAGGACTAGTTTCTGGTTTTTCCTGTAACAAACAGCAAGTCTGAAAGAAGTATTTACTTCTTAAAACTCAATTAAAGAACTCCCACTTAAGGGAGTGGTGAGGAAATTAGCAGAAGTTTTTCTATTTGCAAATTAGAGGCCAGAGAAATAGCACATCCCATAACATAAGCCAATGAAAATCATACTTAACTTTTCTCTGCTCCTGGTCGATATGTTCTTTGTAGACTCTTGGATATACACAGCTTATCTTCCCTCCACAGTTACACACACTATTACTCTCCTCCATACTCAAGTCCTACCAGGCTTGTTTTGCATCCAGTCTGTCACGAAACATTTGCCAGTTCATCACCTGAGAACACTTCCCATTCTGTCATTATTTTATAATTCATTTGCCTAACAGTATTAAGGATAGCTAGTTCTACGTATATGGAGGGTTTGCTATTGAAAACATTTGAAAAAATTTCCCATATACTTTATACATCATAACTTTTATTGTCATTATTCCTAAACATACAGCACTTGGATTGTATTCTGAATTGTAATTGTGGTAGGATTGCACAGATTATATACAAATATTCTTGCATTTCATATAAGGGACATAAACCTTCGTAGATTTTGTGATTGATAAGGGTGGTGTCTTGGATGCAGCAAGGGAGGCTGTATGCATGTGTTTAACAATTGCAGATTTTTTTTTAGGGCAGAAATAAGACCTTTCTTTTTAATTTCCATTAAATCTGGAAGAGAGCTTATATACATACATACATATAATATGCATGCATTTAGTGAATACTTGTTAAATGAAAAAAATATTGAGCTATTTCCTTCTCTATTTAACAATTATGTTTTGACTTTCAGTACTTAGAAATGATGGAATTAGATATAGGAGATGCCACCCAAGTTTATATAGCATTCTTGGTTTACCTGGATCTCATGGAGAGTAAGTTCCTTGCTTATATTGTTTTGCTATTGGAGTGTGGGAGGTTGGGGAATTGGGTTGTCCTATAGCACTGTTCACATATAATAAGCAAACACTTTTTATTTACTAATAATTCTTCCTGCTAATTTTACACATCTCTGTTCATTTATGCTGAGAATTACTAAGTTGTGGAAAAGATCAGAAAAACAAAGAGAGGAAGTTGTATTACGGGTGAAGTTTGCTCTCCTGAATATTAGAAATTTAGCGTGCTTATCTTTTGAGTGAAGTTGGCTCTACTGCATATGGGAAGTTTAGAGCGCTTATCTTTTGTTCTCAAGGAGTGCTTTCTTGGTGCTCTTTCAGGTAAAAGTTGGCATGAAGTAAACTGTGTAGGAATACCAGAACTACAGCTTATCTGCCTCCTTGGCACTGAGATAGAAGGGGAGGGGCTACAGACTGTGGTTCCCACACCCATTTCTGCTTCCCTCAGCCATAACAGGTGAGTGAGTACTTCTTGTCTTAGTTTAACAAACCCATTGCCTGTAAGTTTCTTTGTGTTTTTTTTCCCACTTTTATAAATTCTGTTTATATTTTAATCCATAATCTTTCATTGGCCTTATTTTTATTTTTTAAACTCACACCTTACTGTTTTAAGGTATGTTTTTAAATGAGTAACATCTTAATTTGAATATGACCATATGTGTCTGCTCTTTCTTTTATAATCATCATCTTTGTGTCTAGCTTAAGGTGGATTTCCTGTTTGGAATTCTAAGTAAAGGTCTGTTTTTAATTTTTAAAAGGTTACTAAGAGTTTCAATTTTTTTTTTAAAATGATACAACAGTAAAGGGCTCCCATTTTCCTATGAATAATCACCTTTCACCTTGATTTGCAGCAGTCAGTTCTCCATTATTTTCTCATTTATCACCTCATACAGTTCCCAAATTTCACACACACAGTGAAACCATGTTGTGGTTGTTGTTGTTGTTTCTTTTTTTTCTTTTTTTTTTTTTAGTTGGGAGATTCCTACTTTAATCGCATTACTATTTATAGATTTTTTAAGTTTATATCCATTATGTTTGTTAAGTTTGATAGTGTTTCTATCAATTTCTTATACATTTTCCAATTTATTGGAATCTAGCTTTTCAAACAGTTCATTAATGAGCCTCCAAATTTCATTAGTATCTTTTATCTCCAGATTTTTAGTTCAGTCATTCCCTATCTCTGATTAATTTGGTTGTCTGTTTTATGTTTGTAAATAATGAGCTCTTAGTGTCTTTGGTTCTTTGTAAATTCTGCTTTATTTCCATTTCATCGATTTCTGCTCCATCATTATTGTTTTTCCATCTATTATTTTTTAGTTTGGTTTTTCTTATGGTTCTCAAACCTTAAGGTAGACCATCAAGTTATTTATTTGAGACCCTCTCACTTTTTAACTTAAGCACTATAGCTTTGAGCTTTCTTTTACTAATTGCTATACCCCTAAGTTCTCTTGTGTTTTCATTTTCATTTGATCCTAGAAATTTTAAAGTCTCCTCCCTGACTTTGTCAGTAGCCCTCTGATCATTCAAGAACATAGTAAATCCCAGTGGGTTTGTATATTTACTGTAATTTTTCTATTGACTTCTACTATTATTTCATTATGATATGAATACCATCTGTTAGATAATATTGCTTAGAATAGTAAAATTTAATTCTATATGTATTGAGCGCATTCAATGTGTTGGTGATGGCATATTGATCAAGATGTCTTCATGAAAGTAATATGTATTCTAGTACAAATGTTGACTTGCAAAATAATTTTTTCTTTTTTCTCATTTGATTATTATTGGGTGGGATGGAATAAGAACAAAATTATCCTCTGTTCAAATAGTTCATTGAATGTGTTTTGGGAACTAGATAATTCCTAGTACTAGATAATTGTACTAGGTAATTGAGTAGCAGGGCTATGGAGGACAGATAAGCATTTAATCTTAGTACAGGAGAAGTCTATTGATACCACGTTTGGGACAACAAGAGTTCTCAACCTGTGTGTTACCACCTCCACAAGGACTAATATCAGATATCCTGAATATCAGTTATTTACATTATGATTTATAACAGTAGCAAAATTACCCAGCACTCGGGAGGCAGAGGCAGGCGGATCTCTGTGAGTTCGAGACCAGCCTGGTCTACAAGAGCTAGTTCCAGGACAGGCTCCAAAACCACAGAGAAACCCTGTCTCAAAAAACCAAAAAAAAAAAAAA